GGGACTCCGTGTGCTCTCTGAGGGTGGTCAGCTCTCCCTCTGTGTCAGTGACATACTCTTCTATCTGCTTGATTTCCTTCTGCTCCAGCAAGCTCAGCTGGGACAGGAGAAATATCTCTTCCTCTTCCAGTCTCTGGCGCACATTCTTAAATTCCTCAAGGACCTTTAGTTTCTCGAGATGCACCTGGGCCTGGGTATAAGGGAAGGGATACAGAGATGAAGAAGGAATGAGAGAGAATACTCCAAGCTTCCTTTAAGCCCATCATTAACTTTTTAAATAAATCAACCATCAATCAATCAATTAATTAACTAATTACAGGCAAAGTCTCACTATATAGTCCTGGCTAGCCAGGAACTGACTAAGAACAACAGGTTGGTTTGTATTCATAGAGATCCACCTGTCTTTGCCTCCTAAGTGCTGGAACCAAGGGCATTCACTATCTGGAAGCATTCACTCTTTAGGAGTATGTAAAGATTATTCTGAGATCGGTTTAGAACAGCTTGCTGGGGCATCCCTAAGGAAAAGGGGGAGGGGCAAGGAGATCAAAGCACTTCCAGTGTTCAAAGATTTAAGCTCAATGACTATTTTTTAACCTTCAAGGACATCAGTTAGATGCACAATTAAGAAATCTTAGCACTGGGAGTGCAGATAGGAGATTTAGGAAGCCAATGCCAGCCTCCATTCAAGGCCAGCCTGTACTTCTTGGGCCTCTCTCTCAATAAACAAACAAAAAAAAAAATAGACAACCCAGGATAGGGTTGTAGATCAGTTGATAGAGTGCTTGCTTAGGCACGTATGTAGTCCTGGATTCAATCTCAATACTACATAGTCTGGGCTTGGTGTTATAGCCCTGCAGTTCCAGTACTGGGGAAAGACAAAAGGGTCAGAAGATCAAGACTATCCTTTTTCTGTATAACAATTTCTAGTTTGTGCTACATAAGATACTGTGTCTAGGAGTTGGAGATATGGCTCAGTAAGGGACTTTGTTGCTCTTGCAAAGGACTCAGATTCAAATCCCAGAACACACCTGGTCGCTCACAACCATCCAAAGTCCAGTTCCAGGGATCCAGTGCCCTCTTCTGATCTCCATGGGTACCAGACATGCACCTGGTGTACATACATACATACATGGAGGCAAGGCATTCATTCACATAAAATTAAATCTAAAAATAAGTAGATATAAGATTCTTAAATGTCAATTGGGAAGAACATAAACAAATGAAGAAAGTGAGAGAAGGAAAGAGAAAGGAGAGAGAGAGAGAGATAGACAGAGACAGAGAGAGAAATCTTCTCAGCTTTACTGCCTTCACACTGAATTTCTCGGGGATGGACCTGGAGAAATGATGCAAGGGGTAAGAATGCTTAATGCTCTTCCAGAGAACCTGAATTCAGTTCCTAGCACCTATGAAGAACAGCTCACAAATATCTGTACTTCTTGTTCTTCCGGTTTCTTCTAGGATTTGCACACACATGACTTTCACTCACACAGACACACACACATAAATAAAGGTAGTGCAAACAACCTTTTAAAAAGTAAACAAAATAAATAAGTGGAGACATTTGGTAGTGTCATAGTCTCTTGTCTTTTCTTACTGTGTGATCAGTCTCTAGTGAAATGGGCTTGTGTGAGCCACTGTGTGAGTGTGTGTGTGTGCGTGTGTGTGTGTGTGTGTGTATGTGTGTGTGTATGTGTGTGAGAAAGAGAGAGAGAGAGAGAGAAAGAGAGAGAGAGAGAAAGAGAGAGAACCAGTGTGTGTGTGTGTGTGTGTGTGTGTGTGTGTGTGTGTGTGGTCCTTACAAAGCTTGATGTGGGTGGAGGAGCAGAAGCCCTCCTGGTTCATTGGAGCAGCACCCAGGCAGTTAGGTCAGTACAGCTCAGGAGCATGACGCAGGCACCACACCCTCTGCTCTGCCCCTCGCCATCTGGTCAGCAGGACTTTGTTCCAGCTTGGTGTATAAGGAGTGTTCAGGGATTTTCACAACAGAGATTCTGAACTTCATCAGAAGTGTTTGGAGTGAATATTTCTTACCCTGATCACCTGGATTGCCTCTTCATGTTCCTTTTTCTCTTTAATTATTTCCTTGTCCTTTTGCCCCAAATACTGGACCTTTGTCTCAATCTGCACCTGTGAGGAGAGGATGCTTCAGTCAGGTTCTGCTTCTAGGGAGGCAGGGAAGATATCCCAAAGTTCTGATGTCATTATTAAGAGCCCCCCTTTCTTCCTTGGGATCAAACCAATTTTCCCCTTGTATTATGTGATACTGAGGTTCAAAGTCAAGTCCTCAGACTTGGTGGCAAGTGCCGTCAGTCTCTGAATTATCTCCCCTGCCCCCAAAGTACTATTCTGATTATTCTTCTTGCCTTGTTTACAGATTGGTATTTCCCAGAACCTGGATCCTTGAGCTCACTGGGCCCAGCTGCAAACTGCTAACTCAAGTGTTAAGAAAGCAGCAGTCGGTGCCAACCAGATGGAACAGGCAGCAGCTCCCACATCCCCAGGGAATTCTACTCTGCTGAGCTGGGAACAGAGAAGGAGGCAGGTGCCTACCTTGTAGTTCTGGGCAGCCTCATCTATCAAGGTAACTTCGTGGGTTTTGTGGTCCCTGGAGTCACGACACACCACGCAGAGAAACTCTCCATCTTTCTCACAGAAGTAATGGTACTTTTCCTTGTGCTTCTGACATCTTGTCTCTTCTTCTGGTTGGAACTCAGCAGGATCCGTAGCCTGGGTTTTCTCTGCATGACTAGCCATAGCTTATTGGGTCTCAACAAATTCTTATTCACAGGGAATTTGCAGAGGGGAAATTGAAGGTTTTCTGTAGTTTTCCCAACCTGATTGATGCACTGCAGGCAGAAGTTGTGTCCACAGTCAATGGTGACAGGATCCCGTAGAAATTCCTTACAGATGGTGCAGATCACATTCCCCCTTGGTTTGATGGCTCCTTGTTGGTTTCCACGATGGAGCAGCAAGTCTAACTTGATATGTGAAAGCCCAGAAGTCCGAGGCAGGTGCCAGTACTGGGAAGAGTAAATGAAACAGGAAGCAGAGGCTATTGAGCCTCTCAATTGGAAGACTAGAGAAGGACAAATGAAGAAGGGGTTAAGTAAATGAACAACAGAAAAGAGAAAAATTAAATGTGGAATGTTGTAAAGAGAAGAAAACAGTCAGTCCTACCTCACTGTGTCTCAAGAGCAAACAGATACTGTGAGTTCCTGCTTTCTATAACATAGGGCAAGGTTCCCTGGACCTTAAACTTTACAGGCAGTTGTCTGAAAACAGAAGATTCAAGTGTCAGAGTTCACTCTACTACAGGTAGGGAGTGGAGTGGCTAAGTGTCATTTCAGGGAGGTGTACTAGCTCCTTAGATCTCTTACTTCCCGCTCCTGTCTTCTGGTGGTTTTCCCCCCCTATCTCTGAGCCATCTTTTGTTTTGTTTGGGCTACCAGTTTCTTCCTCTGTCTCTGTACTTCTAAGATCCCCAGCTTGCCTGACCTGTTTCCTTTATCTCGACTAGGAAAGTATTACCTAGTGTCATCCATGTACCCTTCAGTCCTCAATACTTCACTTCTTAACCCTTCCTCTTTCTCTTTGGTTCCCAGGGCACTCTGCTTCTTCCTTCTTGTCCCCCACTTCCCTGGATCAAATTTCCCCCCAATCCCATCCCACACACCTCTCCTGATGTAGGAGTGTCTTCTGTGCATTTGTTACTTTCATTGGTCTAATAAAGAAACTGTCTTGACTTCTTGGTAGGGCAGCAGCTTAGACAGGTGGAGTAGACAGAACAGAATGCTAGGAGAAAGAAGCAGAGTCAGGCAGACACCATGAAGCTCCAGCCTGAGATGGACATGGGTTAGAATCTTCCGGTAAGTTATGACCTCGTGGTGATATACAGATTAGAGATGGGTTAATTAAGATGTGAGAGTTAGCCAAGAAGAGGATATATATATATATATATATATATATATATATATATATATATTAAATTAAATGCCATTTTCTACAGTTCTTTGAAGAGGTTGAAGATTATTTATCTATATAGAATATAATCTCTATGTATCTAAAGAACTTGATCAGTCTAATTATAAATAAGACAAACATAGATGACTATTGATCAATAATTCTTAATACCTATCTAACTTTAAAGACTAAGACAATAAACAACTGTGTAATACATAAGGACAATGACCTACAAATGTAAACAATGTATAAATATCTTGATCAGAAGTAGAAATGTACACTACAACATGGTAAATATATATATATATATCATCACATAATGTTTTAAACAGAGGTAGAAGCATACATGATTAAAATATTCATTATAAATTAACTTTGTATCAACATACAAGAATCTATACCAATGTAATTGTCCTTAAATAATAACTCACAAATACCAATCTATTATCCCATAATCCAATTTTCCCCCATTTTTAAAAAAAGATCCTTTAGCAAGAACTCTGGGAAAGCTATCCCAGAGAGTTTTACTTACTGACAAAGTTAAATTCTGCCTTTTTACCTTTTGCTCCTGGTCATCAAATTTGATAAGTTTTTCAGTCGTTTTAAATCTGTTTACTACTGCCTTTTATAAAGTCTGGACCTCCTGTCCAGTATTCTGCTCTAATGCCCTCATTGAGGATTCTAAGGTATGAATTCTGTCCAGTAGAGATGATGTCTCATCATTGGACAAAATCTTCATGGCATGCTTATTGCCTTCCTGAAGAGACATTCTGTCAATCAATCTGTCATACATCTTCAATAGAGTCTGATTAATACATTTAACAGTGCACATTCTCTCAAATAATGTTTTAGCACCCACTGTCATGGACTGGGTTTTATGTGTCAAATCAGCTGTTTACTCCTCCAGAGTGATGAATCTCTCTCTAAATAAATTACTATAAGATGTATGTATTCCAAAAATATCTCAGTTGACCCAGTCTTATTAAGCAAAGTCATAGTATCCTCCTCCAGCGAGCTCTCTTTCCTGGGACTCTCTGGTCTGCAAATCACCCAGTGTAGGGGCTGGTGAGGTGGGGACCATGGTTCCTCTGTACAAGGACAACGAGGAGGACATCTGTCCCATCTGCCTGGATCCCGTGAAGGAGGCTGTGAGGACAGACTGCGGCCACCTCTTCTGCCGAATGTGCCTGACCCAGCACATGGATAAGGCCTCAGTCTCTGGGGTCCTCAGCTGCCTAGTGTGCAGGAAGCCCTATTCTGAGGGGGTCCATGGGGACTGTTATATCTGCTTCAGCCACCAGAAGAGGGTGTGCATGTTCTGTGAGGCAAGCAGACATCTCCTGTGTGTGGAATGCCTCAAGTCCCCCGAATACCAGGCCCATGCTGAGCTCTCCATTGAAAATGCCATCAGCCACTACAAGGTAAGGCTGTGCCACCCCCACCTGACCCTGCCACTGGCTCCACGAGTTACTTCTTCTAAGCCTGGTTTCTCACAGATGCTGTGACTGACAGCTTCCTTTGAATCTTCTTCACCAACAAACTTGAAGCCCTGATCTTTGTTTTCTGTGTGCCTCACTGCTAATATCAGGGTTTCTAGGGCTCTGTGTATCTAGGTGATCCTGTCATTGTGATGGCAAAGTCCTAGAAAGCATGGACCACTGTGTTTGCTGCAGCTGTGTAGATAGATTCTGTCCCAGATAGTAAGAACCCCTTCTGGACCAAGATTATATGGTTCCCTGGGTGGATGGTTCTAGAACCCAGTCTAGACATGCAATCAAGATTTATCTGTGCTAATGGCCACCTTTCAAAGATTTTTTATTTATTTTTTTTAAATATTTATTTATTTATTATGTATACAATATTCTGTCTGTGTGTATGTCTGCAAGCCAGAAGAGGGCGCCAGACCTCGTTACAGATGGTTGTGAGCCACCATGTGGTTGCTGGGAATTGAACTCAGGACCTTTGGAAGAGCAGGCAGTGCTCTTAACCACTGAGCCATCTCTCCAGCCCCTCAAAGATTTTTTAAAAAGATTTATTTATTATGTATACAGTATTCTTAGTATTCTGCATGTATGCCTGCATGACAGAAGAGGGCACCAGATTTCATTACAGATGGTAGTAAGCCACCATGTGGTTGCTGGGAATTGAACTCAGGACCTTTGGAAGAGCAAGCAGTGCCCTTAACCACTGAGCCATCTCTCCAGCCCCCTTTCAAAGATTTGAAATCTGAAAACATGATGTCCTTGTCCCCCTCTCCTTCCTTTACGGGTTATTATTGTTGTCTCTTGCTTTCTTTATTTTTTTTCCATAATTGATTCACATTTTTGACAGTAAATTTAGGCAACACCTAAAGATTAATAGGAAAACTAAAAATCTTGCCTCTGGGATAAGAGATAGTTGAGTGGAAAGGAGACTGTCACCAAGCTTTACTCTGAATTTGATCTCTGGAACCCTCATGGTAGGATGGGAATGGCTCCCACTGACTGTACACTAACCTCCACACAAGATCCGTGGTGTGTGCTTCCTTCCAAATAAATAAATGTAATAAAATAATAATGAATCTTTCTTCCTGTCTTTCCTCATTCTGTCTTCAGTGATAACCAGCATTAGATTTCTTTTATTCTATCCTTCCAGAAATACTGTGTTTGAATGTTCTCTTTAAAACACACCTACACACACACCAGAGAGACAGAGACAGCTACCAGACATGTAGCTCAGTTGAGGAGTTTCTGCCTGGCACAAAAGAAGCCATACATTCAATTCCCAGTACTCAGAAAAATAAAACAATAAATACATAAAGTACTCTATTCATTTATCCAGTTTTTTGTATATGTATGATTTGGTGGCGGTGTTCCATGGCATGCACATGGTGGCCAGAACTTTGTGAAGTCAGTTCTCTCCCTATACCATGTGGGTTGTCATTCTTGGTGGCAAGTACCTTTACCCACTGAGTCTTTTTTTCTGTCTCCCTCATTATTTAAAAAAATTTATTTTGTTTTTATCATCTAATAATATGTTTTGAACATTTTCCCACTTTTTCCATTTGTCCATCTAGATCTCCTGAACATCTTTCAATAACTGCATTCTGTCCAATACTGTGAATAAATCACAAGTTAGAAAACTGGGTTGTACTCAGGTATTGTTTTTAGGTAACACAGGATATTATAATGATATCTTTTAGCTTGTATTCTGGAGAAGTTAAAATACCCAAGATCTTTTGGTGAAAATGTATAATAGAAAGCTAACTTTACCTTCTCTAAGTTATAGTAAATTGTCTCACTACTATTTATTGAAGGTACTGTGTAGATCCTGCCTTGTTCTATTACTCTGTATGGTCCTGCTAGTGTGCCAAAGTTCCTCCTCTTCCTTCTCATCTTCCTCCTCCCTTTACTTTTTCCTCCCTTTCTTCTCCTTCTTCCTCCCATAGTACTAAGGATAAAGATTGAACCTAGGTCTTGCAAAAGCAAGGCAAGCATGATATTCTAATATGCAGTGTTCTTTTTTTATCTTTTTTTCAAAGTTTATTAAATTATAAAAGTTTCCATTTCTGCCCCTCCTCCCAACACCCTCCCACTCCCCCCACTCCCTCTCCTCCTCCCTCTCCATCCCTAAGAGCAGTCAGGGTTTCCTGCCCTGTGGGAAGTTCAAGTTCCTCCCCTCTCCCTCCAGGTCCAGGAAGGTGAGTGTCCAGACAGACTGGATTCCCCAAATCCAGTATATGTAGAGGAAACATGTCCCAGTGTCATTGTCGATGGCTTTTCAGAAAGACTCCGGGCCAGTCACAGTCAGAGAATCCGGCCACATTCAGAGAATCTGGTTGGATCACGTGCTCGTTCAGTCCCAGTCCAACTGGCCTTGGTGAACTCTCATTAGATCAGTCCCCTTGTATCAGTGGGTGATTGCATCCCTCACAGTCCTTATTTCCTTTTTCATTTTCTTCCTCCTTCTGCTCCTCATTTGGACCTTGGGGGGCTCAGTCCAGCGCGCAGTGTTCTTTTTTACTTTTTATTTTAAGACCAATTCTTACTTTTGATTCCCATGCTGCAAGCCTCCAGAGTAACTAACATTGCAGGCATATGCCACCAGAATCACCATGTTAAACCACCTTAAGAATTGTGCATTTTTTATTTATTTTTATTGAGCTCTACATTTTTCTCTGCTCCCCTCCCTGCCTCTTCCTTCCCACTTCAACCCTCCCCAAGGTCCCCATGCTCCCAATTTACTCAGGATATCTTGTCTTTTTCTACTTCCCATGTAGATTAGATCTATGTTAACCTCTCTGAGTGTCCTCATTGCTGTCTGATTGTGGTTTATAGGCTGGTTTTCTTTGCTTTATGTTTAAAAACCACCTATGCTGGCACAGCTTTATTTTCTAGCATTTATTAATTACACAGAGCAATGGACTTCATTAGAATCTTTTATAAACATATGTAACATTGTATATACATACATATATATACATATACATATATTTAATAAAAAGAGTGCCCAAAGTATTAGTGCTTATTAAGGATTTCTGGATGTAATTCATTTTTTGTTGATTCTCCTCCATCTCCCTCACTACTCCAGCTTTCCATCATACTCCACTCTCGTAGCTTCTTTTCTCTTTTGTGATCCATGTGTTCTTCTCTATCATGTAATGCATTCCTCTCATGCAACTTGCTCTTTCTTGAGTTCTCATGGACAAGACTGTCTATGGAGGCTACTCGTCCATTTCCCAGCTGCCCGGGCCTAAACTAATCACATAGAAGCTACATTAACTGCAATACTCTTTTTCCAATAGCTTAAGCATATTTCTGACTAGCTCTTACACCTTAAATTAACCCATTTCTATTATTTTATATTTTATCATGAGGCTTGTGGTTTACTGGTACTGGCACATGGACATCTTTCTCCTCTGGTGGCATTTCTCTGTCTCCAATTAATCGCTCTATATCTTTTCCAGCCTGGCTACATCCTTTAAAGACATTGACCAAAAGTAGCTTCTTTATTAACCAGTGGTATTCACAGCATGGAGAGGGGACCCACATCCCAAGAGTGTCTTTCTTCCTCTTCTATTTCCTTTAATATTTTTTTGGTGTTGGCTTTGTTACAATTAATTGCCCTTTTTGTGTTTTTATGATGGTCCCATTTCTACATTAATTTTAAAAGTTAGTCTTCTGAAAGACACTTAAGAAAATGCTCAACATTCTTAGCCATCAGAGAAATGTAAATCAAGCAATTCTGAGATTCCATCTTACACCTGTCAGAATGGCCAAGATAAAAACACTAATGACAGCTTATGCTGGAAAGAATGTGGGGTAAGGGGAACACTCTTTGTGGCAAACATTCCACACCCAAGGTCTGCATCACCACCCACCTGGTATGGACCGGGATTCCATACCTTCCACGAGCTAGGTAAGGTCCTAGGGGTTAAAACACAAGACGAACAACACAGAGATAGAGAGTTCAAGTCATTCTCAAGAGGAGAATGCCCGTTTATCCAAACTTAATCTGGGGTTAAAATACCCTTTGGCCCCAGTAACGGAAACCCCTCCCAGCCAGAGGGGGATGGGGAAGCTGGCGCCGAGTGAGCTTCTCCACAGGCAGGTGGGCGAGGGGTGCAAGGCAGTGTCAGACAGGTGAGAGGTACCTTGGCACCTGGGCTCTTCCAGGCAGGTTGAGAAATTACCATTTTAAAGTAATATAGGGCCCTAGGCTATTATAACAGGCTTAGAGCAGAACAAGCCTGGAACTTAGCAGGAAGCTTTAACTGGTTGCCAAAACAGTCCTTGATTTGCATCCCAGGGAGCAAGGGAAGGCCTGGGCCTTAAAGGTCCCCCTTTTAAATATAAAATATGATGACTAGGCCTATCTTAGGTGGGATGGACGTCAGGCAGACCCCTTACCCGTCTTTGGAATGTGCCCAGGTCCAAACACATCCCTGTCTTAGGTTGAGATTGCCCCCCATTCAAACCGAACCCGTCTCTGACACATAGTCATACATCATCAAAACCAGCCGGATTTATGCTGAGATTTATGCTCTGGGGCAAATGTTTGAGTTGACTTGTCACATGGCAGCATTGACCTGAGTTTGCCACTGACTCTGGCACCATGAAATCATGAAGATGATGTTCCAGCACACACACAAGCATTCCTAAAGGAGACTGTGCTTGTACAGTTCTTAAAAAGTCCGCTCAGAATGGAGTCCTTTAGGTAATGTCTCACTCAGCACTGGTGGAAGGTCCCTGGTAAGCTAACTAGAATAAATGAGAGCCAAATAGTAAATATTGTACTCTAGGGTCCATGAAAAACAGCAAAATGCCGTTTTTTGTGACCAGCAGATGTAAAAAACCCATATCCAGTCCGTAAAGATTAACCTTAGTGTCCAATTGTAAATTTAGCTCAATTTAAACGACCATGGCATTTTGCAACCTGCCCTGAAGGTACCCATAGCGCTCAGCAGAAACAGCTGACAGGACAAGGGAAAATCCAGTAGCATAGCAATGTACAGCAATGACAGCACAGCAA